TGCTTCTTTCTGTTCTGTGTTATTATTGTCACTTTCTAAATGGGACACTGAGGCACAGCAGGTAAGTGCTAGTGGGAATGACATTCAGCTCGAGCCCCCGGGCTGTGCCTCTCACTGGTGTCACAACACTGCATGTAATGAGCACATTTAGGAAACAATTTAGCCTTTACCACTTCCTGGTGGTTGGTACATTATGAAAAAGCATTTGAATCTTCACTATAAAAAGGAGCTTAACCAAAAAAAAAAGAAAAAAAGAAAAAAAAATAAAAGTACTTTTGCAGCACTGAAGGCCAGTTTACAGAAGCTGTTGTAAAATGTGCTTCCTCAATCCATTGTGCACTTGGTGGGCACTCTGTGCCTGGAGCTGTCCAGGACATCCTTGTCCTGTGCCACCACCTCTGTCCTGTCTCCCTCCTCGGTGAGCCAGGTCTGTGAGGTCAGTTTGAAGGCTGATAAAAATAGAGAGCGTTTTGTTGTTGTTGTTGGTCGTGTGGAAATGCTTCCCACTGGGATGACTTTTAGACTCTCCCTCAGCTGTTATCCTGTGCAAGGAGACAGACTGAGATTTTGCCTCCTGTGCACTTTACTCATTGGATTAAGGATAAAATTGACGCTTTCCTAAAAGACTGGGTAGCCTTAAAAATGAATGAATACTTGATATTAAAGACCTATGAGATAATTTATTTTTTCTAATCCTGTTTAGAAGTAACTGTTGAAATAAATGGATTTACTGGTGGAGTTAAGAGGAAAATGTGAATCTAGAAGGTCTCATTGTACATTTACCTTTTGAGTTGTTGAACTCTGAGGATCAGGTAATTAAATTCATGAGTCAGAGAAGAGATGAAAGGAGGTTGTAGGACTTACCATCCTTTACAAAGAAGGATCCTCCTGAAAAAGAAGGAGTCAACATTTCTGTGTTACCTGGGTGAACTTGGCCATGTCTTTGTGCCTCCTTTCCTTGTGTGATAGTGTTGCTTCTGAGGTGAATGCACTGAGGAGCAGTTGTGATTTTTGCTGTCAAGAAATGATGCTCCATCGCTGTGCTCTTATTGTGGGTTGGTTTGGGTTTGTTTTGGGGTTTTTTTTAAAATGTATTAGTGAAATAATAAAGCCATACAGTGCTTACTTGGGAGGAGGGAGATCTGATCACCTGCTGAAGCTGCAGCTCTCTGCTGTTAAAAGCAGATGGATTTGTGTGTCCTGTCCAGGGGTTCTCCCAATGCACCCGTAAAAGGAGGAAGAGTCTTGTTGGGAAGCTTAATATTCCCTCCTTCCTGGCATCATGTCAAGTAATGTCTGCATCTCTTGCAGCACAAGGTGTGAAGATAATTTTCAGCCTCCTGCATAAGCATTCTTTTAATTGCAGAAAACATAGCTTCCAAAAACGCCAGGTGGAGGGGGATCTGTGGGGATTCCTATGCAGAAATGAAGAACTGAGGAGAGCAAGGATGGGCCAGGTGTCTGCCTTTCATGAGGATATTCCCTGTGTCACATCTGCTGCCAGCATAGCTGCTCTCCCTAAACGATAAGGAAGCTTTGCAGTCAGGCTGGCAGGTGAGCTGGGGATCAGGAATTACCGTGATGGTTTGATGGCGTGCGAGGGATGCTGTGAAGTGTGGCGTGGTTCTGACGAGCACAGCCTCAGTTAGGTTCTTCTGCACGAGGCTGACACGCCAGGCTTCGGGTGTGAGGATGTGTTCTGGTCCATCAAACGTAAAATGACAAAATCATTTGTAATCTCTCATTAACAGTCCCTGTGGGCTTTCCATCTCTGCCTCCCCTGTGGCATTATTCAACAGCCAAGAACTCTGCTATTGCCAGCTATACTTAAAAATGAAGTTTTAGGAATTAACTGAAATCTTTTACTTAGAGGTCCATAGGAAAAAGAATTAGGTCAGATCTGAAATATTACTACTAATGACTAAGTAGCCTTTCTAAATTACTTGTGCTTGATTGGAATTTACCACGAGTGGGTATATGTGCTTTTACCCCTCTGATTCTGTCTCCCACCCCATGGGAGGTAATGAGCAAAGGGCTCTGTGGTGCTTGGTTGCCAGCTGGGGTTAAACCATGACAGTGCAGCCAAGGTTCATTATCTACATTTCTTCCTAGACAGGAAGTCATTTCTCACAGTAAGTAATCAGCTTGAAAATACGTTGCAGAAGGCACCTAACTCTGTGCACAGTTTTTTTCTTCTAAATTATTTAGATGTTGAGAGTCACTCTATTTAACTCTTATGTATGCAAAAAAAGGCACTAACAGGGGGTAAAATATCCCTCTCTGATATCCTTTGACAGGACTCTACCTGCCTAAAGGGCAGGCTTTGTCTTTCCTGCATGTATTTAAAGTTTGCTGGGATAACTAGCCGTTCACAGCACACCGACCCCATCTTCACTGCAACACAGCAAACATCAGGTCACCTTCCTTGTGATCCCTCCTAAACCTGCTCCCGTGCCAGACAGCTCTTTGGCTTTTTTGTGGTGTTCTGAACACATTTGGCTTTCTGGCAAGGTCTGAACCCCCTCTGAAAGGCAGGGATCCTCAGTTTGCCAGTGCTGTCAGGAATTATGCACTGTTTCGTGTTTTAAATGCCTGAATCCTAAATCTGTAATCCAGGTGTTCTTCCAGTCATGCCTGCTCTTCTCTTTGATTTACCCATTTTGTATGAAAATCTTTAGTATATTAAATAAGTACTTGACCATTTTTTTTGTGCATATGCTGCATAATGAGGAAGGTTTCTCAAAAGTTTTCTTGCAAGTGGATTCCCATGTGGTGCCTGTTAGTCACAGCTAATTACAGAGGTTGGTGAATGAGGAATATATGTGAGCTCAGGTTCCCCTCCTCCTCTTTCCACAGTGCTTCAGAAGAAAATAAAATAAAAATCCTGCAGACAAATCCAGTTTTTTCTGTGCTTGAAGTCTCCAAAGAGCTCCAGAGAAATCACAGATGTGGTTTCATGTTTCAGGTTTAACTATGTTGTAATAACTACAGTCTTATCTGCAGGAGAAATGCAAGTGGGGAAAGAATCATTAATTGACAGTGGAAAGTTTGACCCAAGCTCTGTGTGTTTGTTTGTTTTAAGCAGCTGAATGTTTAGCCAAACGATATTTTAACTTCTGACTGCAGCCTTGAAGGTTACAATAATCTTGATAGGTTAAAAGCTAGGAATGTTATAGGAAAGGAAACTCAGATATATATTTCAGGAAAGCCAATCCTAGGAAAGCAGAAATTCTTGTGATTTAGTTAAAGCCAGGACACAACCTTCAGTTTTAATTCAGCTGCACACAAACCTCCTGCCAGGTGCACCAACCTTTGCAGCACAGGAAGGTTTTTAGTTGCTTCAGTGGGTGCAGAGCAAGGCAGCTGTGAGAGGTGAAGCTTCGTGGCTGAGCACAGGAGGAACCCACAGCTCACATAAAATGTTTGACTAACGTCTAATTTTCCTATCTTTTGTTGGTGTTCATTCAGGAAGTCTGCTAGCTTGAATGAGTTCCTGTGTGTGTGTGTAGTATGAGTATTATCCAGCAGGACTACATGGGATATTGTCTATTATTTGTTACAAAGGCACCAGTGACCTTCCTGCCCCTATATTAGCAGCGCCTGCTGTTTTTCCATACTGCCGATTGTCAGGAATGCAGATCATCCATAAAGCTGGGCACAATCCTCATCGGTCAAATTATTGTCTCAGGAAAACAAAATGCTTTAATTATAAAAAAAATAAAAATTAGAGATGTAATCTCAGCAGGACATTCCCACTCAAAGGCATATTTGAGGCTGGGAAAATGAATAATTTAGCGGGTAGAGGACGCAGATTACATAATGAAATTACATAGGACTCTGATGATTTCTGGTTTTAACAGGTATGGGTTTTTTCAAGGTTGGTTTGTGGCTGCTTTTTGCCCCCAGCTTTTGTTTTCTGTTTTCAGAACTGCAACACACAAAAGACTTCAGGAGTAGCTTGAACTTTCAGAAATGTGACTGGGGCTAGGACAGGAGTATCCTACCTGGAAAACAGAGTCTGAACCTGTTGCCTGACCTCTAGGAAACACACACATGGATGCAAACTCTTAAAATTAGTACAATACTAAGAGCTGCATAAGAGGTTATCAGTAACAAACATAAATATTCCTGTCTTTCATCAGAGCAATTGTTTTGTGTACTACTTCGATAGGGAAAGGCTTTATTATGATATAGCTGTATCAAAATTATATGTTATGTGTTGAAAAAGTTATATGTTAAAAAAAGTACTCCTAGAAAATGTATTTGTCATTGCTGCATGCTTGGGTTGGTGGATAAACCAGTGTTCAGAACAACTCTGTGCTATGCTGGAGAATATTTGAGGGTGTCAGTTTCCCTTGAGAAATACTACATGAATTTTAAATGGTAAGATCTCTTTAAAAAGTCACTGAGGCTAAATATTGTGTGGATGGAGATCTCTAGGAGGCTCAGGAGTTCCAAACCCAGTTGGGTGACTGTTCTGGTATTAAAAGTGCTAAAAGGAGCAAGTTTGAGTTTAGTGGAGTGCTGTGGCACATGTGGTGCTTATTGCTGCCACATCGAGCCTCTTGTTGAGCTGTTACTGCTGCCCTATGCTGGGAGAAATTCATTTTTGCCTCCAAAAAAATTTTGGGGTTGTTTTGGTAGTTAGCATAGGAAGGAGTTCTTATGTTTGAACATTCCCAAACTTCGATAAAAAGCTTGAGATTTAGACTTTGTTATTTTAGTGTTTTCTCCTTTCTCTCTCTCGTGAGTAAATGCCCCCAGGGCCGAATGCTTTTGAAGTACAAAAATAACATCAGACATTAATCTAAATTCAAATATATGTTTTAACATATGTATGTATTTGAATCAGTATGTGTTAGAGGCATCCTCTTCAAAAAGGCTGTCTGCAGGTAATCTCTGAAGCACAGAAATTGTTTTAATTCAGAAAAATAATAATAATGGAGAAGGGAAGAGATTTTTATTTTACACTGATGCAGTTTGTCTTATTTTCCCCAAAGGACACCATGGTTTAATGGATGGGGCTTTAATCTACCCAGAGGTCAGTCTTTGCTAGACAAGTGGAACCTTATTCCTGAGGGAATTGATATCCTAATGACACATGGACCTCCCCTTGGTAAGTGAAATAAAAGTTTTGTGTGTTTTTTTTTTTGCATGAGAATTTTACTTTCAAAATAAGCGAAGTTGATAATGCTTTAAGATATACTGTAATTGCACCCAAACTCAAAACTATGGATTAAAAACCTTTCTGAAAGAAGTGGAAAATGATGATTAGGCTTAGCTGATCTGTTGAGTTTCCGTAAAATCTTGAATTTTTTTATTAAATTCAAGCTAGGGAAGATCAAATATCTGACTCCATAACCATTATAATTTGACATTTTATTTAAGAATAGTATTCATCTGACAACCCAGTTTCCAATCCCAAAAGACTTTTTAGAGATTGACTAAAACTTTTGAAACCTTTTCTCACTACAGTGTCATGTTATTTTAAGGTTTGAGAGTAACAGTCAAGAGTTTGGAACTATGTAGTCACATATTCTCCTTGATAATGTCCTTGTAAACTTAGGATATGTAAGAACAGTTTTAAAGGTATTAATTGGCTTATAAAAAATTTGTGAAGGAATAAAATCATGTTCTTAGAGAATTGTTCCTAACTTGATCTAATGACAGGTGAGCACCAGTCTATGAATAATTTGTTTCTTCGTTAGGCAGCTAAAGTTTCTCATTTAGTTGAATTTTGCTCATCTTGTCAATATGAGTCATTCACTGATCTCTGCTTTAACTCTTAAGATCCAAACTAAGTTCTGAGTGTCTCAGGACACCAGGACACTGGTTCTGCAGAGGCAGGAGCACTCAATTTTGGCATATCTGAAGTCATTAAAGCCCACACTAAAGCCATTTGGAAAGTGCCCCTATCCTTTCCCCATCACATATTATTTACTGCTTTTCTTCCAGACACATGTGGCAAGCAGCCTGGGGCTGTATTTTAGGTATCTCATGGGTTTACAACAACTGACCCTTTTATAAATATGACTTTTCAGGATGAGGAATTGTGGCAGTCTCTTCATTGCCCTTACTGCCAGAAGAGTGGTTTTGTCAGGTTTTTAGTAAGCTCCTGCAATCCAAGGGGTCAGATCACACAGTCACAGGAGGTGACCTAATCACAGTCTCTTACTAAAATCACTGGACTGAATATGTAAAATCTTCTCAGAATTGCATGGTGCCATTATAAACCAGCATTTTAAGTGCTTCCAGGCTGCCTCAGTGTTCTTTTAGAGCTTCTTGGTGACCGTGGAGCCAGGAATTAATGCATGCTTATGTTTTTTACCACAATTATGTTAAGAGTCAGCAATCTAAGCCAAGCTAAGGAAAAAAAAAAAAAAAAAAGACCAGAAAGTTTTTGACCAATGTACTTACTGCTCCTTTTATATTCTGTTTAGTTTTTTAATACTACTTAGAGAATGTTGTAAGATGATCAGCAAATTCCCTTTAACCTTCCTGGAGCTCCCAGCGTGCTGCTGTGTTAAGGCAGTGACACAGCATCCCCTGACAGCGGAGCCACCGGATATTGCAAACCATGGCCTCAAACAGCACTCTCTTAATTGCTTCATTTTCCCAAAGAAGCAAAAAAAAACCCCAGAAAACCCCACAAGCGTGTTTATAACGTTTCATGGTTGCTGTTTTAAATGGGTTGTTCATCCATCTGCTCTGAATTGGGTTCATACAGAAATACTGTGATGCTGCAGACACTGTAATTGAATAAACGTGCTTAAATTTTGGGTTTGAAGGAGATAATGAAGTTCAGTTTCAAGAGGTTGACACTGTATCTTAACTACAGACACAGATTAGGTGTCAGTACTGTGCCCCAAATGAGGGGCTCTAGGTCTCAGCCTGCATGATAATATTGACAAAATACTGCTTTTTAAATAAGTGTTTACTTATTAAGTAAATATTAAGGGAGGTAGAGCTGTAACTGGACTCTTTGGTCACTCTAAAATTCAGCTAAGTTCTTGGCACAGATTGTAATGATGCTGAAGTCAGCAGAATGATGCTACAGCTGGCTCCTGATTTCCCTTTTTTTGCTCTCTCCTTGCCCTGCTGATTCTTTTCTGTGCTAGTCCAGGCAGCAGGCTCCTGCAGGGACTGATGTCCTGTTTTGTACATTTTTCTGTATTATCCATAAGACCAGGTGACAACGCGGTCAGTTAGGAGTGGCTTGTTGGAAATTGTTTTGTAGGTTTTGCATTGCTTGAGGCTGGTGATGATGGCTCAGAAATAACCTGGTGCTTGCAGACCACGGTCCTCCAAAAATTGTGGGAGTCTGTATTTTAAATCTTTGGGCTGGCAGCTGAATTGAGTCGTAGCTCAGCTCATCTTCCTGAGATGTTTCATTTCTGGAGTAACCACATAGCTGGCTTGAGAAGCTGGCTGCTGAAAGTGCCAGGGGAAAGGGAAGAAAAATCTGCAGCAGTGCCAGGAATAAATGTCCCAGGGTTTCAAGGTGGAAGATGAGTTTAAACCTGTAGTTTAAAAAAACAAATCACATCCAGAAAAATATTAATGCAGATGGAGGGAGGAAATCTTAAGGAAGACAAAGTGACAGTGAAACATTTCTTAAAAGCCATTGTGTGCTTTAATGGAGAGGTTATGACTAGAGATAATGTAATAAACCCTGTGTGAATTATGACTTCCTGAAAGACTACGTGAAACCTTACCTGAATAGGGAAAATGAATAGTATTGATTGCATTTTGCCTTCAGGTTTTCGAGACTGGGTTCCAAAGGAGCTGCAGAGAGTGGGCTGTGTGGAGCTGCTGAACACAGTGCAGAGGCGAGTAAGGCCCAAACTCCATGTCTTTGGTGGGATTCATGAAGGTAAGGAGCAGTGCAATTCCCTACTTCATCTCAGAGTTCAAGAAGCACATCTTGATGGTGTATTGCAGTGGATAATGGCATATTGGATTAAAGTAGGGAGGGAGTTCAGGGAAGTGATTGCATGCGTGGCACTTTGTAAATTTATTCCAGAATTAAAACAGACTGTTTCAGGAATGTGTGCTACATTTAGCCACCTACATCTTTCACTGTGCAAAGGTTGTTCTATACAGGTTATTTGAAAGCAATTCAAGTTTTGACAAACTTGGTTAGAGAAATAGATGAGATTCCCCACACATGCAAGCCAAAATGAAAATTATCCCCATTACTCCAAGTACAGGAGTTAAGAAAGATGCTAGAGAAAAAAAGAAAATGTGAAGACAGCTTGCTGCCTCTGCTCACCTCCCTCAAGGTATAAGGAGAAGCAAAAAGGAGGGCATCTCGAGTCAGGCATCAGGAGAAGCCGCTGCCAGAACTCACTGTGCACACATTTCTAAAAGCACCCTGTAATGCACCCTGTGCTCTCTGTGATACCCTCCAGCAGTCTCATGTTTTAGAAGAGACATTCCCCCTCTGTCATTGCCAGGACAGGCAGAGTGTGAAGCTTCAGAAACAATGAGCTCAGTTTGTGGCAGTGGAAGAGACTGAGAGATTAAATACATTCTGGAGATACTTAAATATTTAATACGATTTTGTAGCTTTCATGTGGCTGAGAGACAAACACTAGGAGTTCTGCCTGAGAGAGAGTGTAAGTGTTCATGACCCTAGAACTCAAAATTACACATTAAATGTTTTATATTCTCCCCTCTGGAGGTTTTCCGTTGTCTCTAACTAGGTTCTCCATAGGCCTAAAGATTTTGAGGATTTCATAAAAGAAAAATAAAAAAAGGACAGCTTTCTCTGCTAGTGGTGTTGGTTTTTCTGAAGCCCCTTTGACTTCATACAATGATTTCCATGGCTGGCATCTGTAAATAAAGTGTTTATCCTGGGAATACTGACGTGACCCTCTGCATAGAGGCATAAATAACAGTCCTTTAATGCAGCCAGGCAAAGATGGGGTATTTTGTACAAATATTAGTCCTTGCATATTAAAAATAAATGAATATAGCAAGACTTCTAGCTGAAATGTGTAAATTGTCTACAGCTTTTGTAGGCAGATTGGGTGGTGAAACTTGTGGTTGTGATAGGGCTGTGGGTGGGAGAGAGGAGGGTGAATGCACAGGACCATCATTATGAGAAAGCACCAAGGAATCATGTGCAGCACCCTACATTTAAATCCCCAAGGAAAGGTGGCAGCACACATTAAAAGCTAACATTCAAATAAATTCTTGTAAGAATACCAACAAAAAGTTAAAGTCATTTCTAGTACTTATACAGAAGATGTAAGAATGGCTTGCTTCAGTCCAGGAAGAAATAGCAAAGCGTTAAGAGCATTATCTTACAGTGCAATTAATTTTTATCCAGCTCCATCTGGAATGAACGTGTACCACATTCCCATGAACCAGTGGAGGCTATAAATACATATTGGTGATGCAGGTTTTTTCCCCTGGTTGATAAGCAAAACAACCACAAACATGGTTTTTCCCACCATGAGATGATCTAAATCAAAATTGCCAGTCTAAATAAGTAAAGTAATACGGGTAGACAGTACAGCAATTCTGAAGTGATTATTCTTTCTGATAGGCACTGTGGGTAGCTGTATTTATCTTAGCTTTCAGACAGCAGTGATCTGTACTGTATCATAATGGTTTGAAAGAAAAGCATTTTTCCTCTGAGGGTTTGCAGGGAAAAGTTCTCTTCCTCCTTGAAACTCTGGGGTTTTTTTTTCAATTTTTTTTTTAATAAGTACATTTGGGGCCAAATACTTCCTAGATGTTTTCAAGCTTCTTTACACACACTTTTCTAATTATATATATATGTATTAAATAATGCAGTCACAGAATAGTTTGGATTGGAAGGGACTTTAAGGATCATCTCATTCCAAATCCTCTGCCACAGGCAGGGATGTTTTCCACTAGACCAGGTTGCTCTGAGTCCTGTCCAGCCTGGCTTTGAACACTTCAGGGATGGGGCAGCTTCCCTGGGCAGCCTGAGTCTGTGCATGTGTGTATTTTTAACCTGCTGATGAGTTCCTGAGGTCTCAGAAGCCGGGGTGAACACCAGCTCAGCGGTGTAGCATGAGGAGCTGGGTGATTAGGGCTAGCAAGGAGAGATGACAGAGTTCAGGTCATTTGTTGGAGAGGGGGTGTTTAGACTAAACCAAAATTACTTCTAAATCTTCTGCTTCTAAATGGTCTTTTTCTTCTGACAGGCATGCAAATTATAGCTCACTAATTAAGTAATTAGAAAAAGAGCATGTGTGGTTTGTATTTCTGCCACACCCAGTTGCAACAGAGGATTTTCCAGGGGTGAAAAAAAGTTTGTGCACAAACCAAAAATCACCTGCTCTTCCCTCAACCGCGGTACCCTGCATTTTTATTTATTTTTTTTTCCCAGCCAAAATCTTTTTTCAGAGACACCAGAAGGGGATGGTGTCATTTAGAAGGGATTAATTTGGTTTTATCTCACAGCATGGATCCCCCATGGGGTGCTCTGTGTGTCCCTGGCAGTGAGTGTGTTGTCCCCGCAGGTTACGGCATCATGACAGACGGCTACACCACCTACATCAACGCCTCCACGTGTACAGTCAGCTTCCAGCCCACCAACCCTCCCATCATCTTCGACCTTCCAACCCCTCAAGGATCCTGAAGCACTACTGGGGAAGGTCTATAAACTGCCATTTTCTAATTAAGGAACATATATTCAGTTACATGTTTATTTCAAAACAGGGGGCTGGTGGGGGGGTGGATTTTGGGGGAGATGCAGGGGGTTTTTTTTGTTTCAGGGTGGGGTTTGGGGTTTTTTTGGGGTTTTTTTTTTTTAATTTGTAAATTGCTGGTGCAAAAGAAACAGGAGGAAAAGTTAGAGGTTGTGCTTTTTGGAAATGCAGCATTCATTTTAAATTGATAAAGCATTGTGAATTTGTAAAATGAATTTCATTTTTCAATAAACTTGCCATTGTAAATTGTTATAGTGTTCTCAAAAGGACAGCCAAGCTTTCTTTTAATAAGTGAGAGACCTTATTTTAATATTATAATATAAGCTAAAAAATAGGCAGCATTTAAATACACCCAAATTTGCACAACTTATGTTATTGTCGGGATTTTTTTAAGTGTCTTCTTTTTCCCTAGGTTTAAATGTTGGCTTTTTATCTCCATTTATATCAATTCTTTTAGTAGCACAAACAATGTTTTGGGGTCCATTTACCTCTTGATATGTGTGCATGTACTTAAACTTGTTTCTAGTCACGGTAGAATGCAGCAAGAGGAGAATAGACTTCTCAGTTGTTTGTCTCTACCTGCTTTATAAAGACTGATCTAGATAGCCACAGTCTGTATGTGATATCTACCTTCTGTTGTTTCTTTTTTAAATTATTTTAGCTTTAAAAGACTGGGGGTGAAAGCTGCAAAGAGCAGGTATTTCATGCAGTAAAAAAAAAAAATAAATTGTAAATGCGGACTCCTTTTAAATATGAATTTATATATATATGTATTTTTTGTGCATTATAACTAAGCTAGGATTTAATATTGCCAGTATAGCATCTGCAAAACTATGCTGTACAGCACATCTAAATTATGAAGGATGTGACACATTTTTCCAAGTGCTCAAGGCCTTCAAGAGCCCGAGTTAAATCTTTGTTGTAGTTCAGGCATGTATAGAGTCAAATGGATACAATCAAGCCTAAATAAAATAAGGCTTAGTTGTCCTTTATATTTAAATATTCTTCTTGTCTTTTTTATTTCCTTTTTCTTATTTTGCACTGTGTGTAAATGCAATCTCACTAGCACAAAATATTGTTGCAGATAGTTATTTCCGTTCCACCACTGTAAATGCTATTGAGCTTTGTTCTGTTTTATGTTACCTTGTTAATGGAATTTAGAAAAGCAGTTGTTTCTTTAAATTTATTGTGATATTATATCTAGCGGCCTTTATATGCAAATAAAATTGCAAGATTTTTAAATATGTGGTTCAAGGGAGTTTTGTGGGGTTTTTGTGGCATGACCAATTTTGGGAAGTGATGACAAGGGTAAGTAAGAAGTTCTTTATTTCTCAATAAATTTATATTGTGGACCATTCATCAGATGTCAGTTGGGTCAATAGAGCACTCAGAATTTCCCTTCTGTTTCTCTGCCATCCATTTCTCCATTCCTTTTGGACAGAGGGGATTTTGTCTTTAGCTTCAGTGGTTCAGTGTGACCAAGTTTGTGCTGTTAAGCCTTGTAGGACGCTATTCCAAATGACACGAGGAAGAATTGATTAGGCAATAACCTTTTTTGCTTCCTCACTTGGTCATTAGCACTGAGCTTCAGGTCTCTTATGCTCATCCACCCTGGGTTAAAAAATGAATAGTCAGGAGGTGAAACACATCACTTTTTATGTGGGTTGGTTTTGTGGCTACAGCAGGATCCACCAGGGCAGGGGAGTGGAAGGGCAGTGTGGTTCTGTGTATGCCAGGGGAATGACAAACACTGCAGGACCTGCTGCTGCACACAGTTACACAGATAACAACACAGTCCTGTTCCAAAACAGGAATGATGGCTGCAAAAATCTGCTTTCAAACATGAGAAAATAAGGCACAGTTTTCATGAATCTTCATCTGCAGTAACATCAACAAGACCTGGAGAGAGACAGAGTATCCCCATTTATCTTAACAGGTTGTTAACTTTTGACATTATTTTGATACAAAGTTTATAAACAAAGAAATCCAGGGCTCTTACAGCAGAGTACAACTCAGTGGGCCTAATACTGTTTGTATTTTGATGCAATGTGTGTGACACATGTCTGTGGAGTTGGCTGAAATCTTCAGATTTATAAGGCTGCTGCACCAAAGGCTTTTTTGGGGAAGAAGCTGCTGTATCTCTTAAATCTAGTTCTTGTTCTGTATGTGGAATTTCTTGACAGGTTTTCTTATGAAATTGATAGGTACCTTCACTCCTTAATGATATCTGCCTCCCTTTGCTTGCAGTTCTGGTTATTTTATCAATTGAGCGAAAGGAAGAAAGGTCACCAAATATTAGTCCTCACTTTTGGATGTAGACGCAGGATCTGTCTTGTGGGCTTTTTTCAGCTTGCAGTGAGAAGACGAGGAAATTGGTTTTGACAACCACAGCTGTCTACTGGCAAAGAACTTCTGAGATGGCTGTCCTTGGAGAAAAGCAGTTCTTAGAGTGCACAGAAATCGTGTATGTGGAACGCCTTGGATTATTCTAGCTCACTGATATCTTGCTTGTTTTCACTGCATAAGGAGGAAATACCCATAGCCTCAGGTGCTCTGTAGTGCCATGAACTTTCAGATGAGCAGGGGATAGCCACTGTATCTGTGTTGCCCTCCAGCCTTCTGGAGAACCTGGCTACAGCAGGTATAGTCCATGGTACCAGTCTGTCATCTCTCTGCCTCTTGATAAAAACTGGGTTATTCCAACAGCAAAAATTCCAAGCCAACAGCTTTGTTTCAGCATTCAAACAAGACTTGTGGCAGCAAAATGAGCAGATGGCAGTGCAAAAGTTCATCCAGGAGTCTGCCTTGGGTAAGACTGGTAGTGAGAATAGACCAGAAGCAATGCTTTGAAGGAGTAAATCTGTGCAACCTCTGCCATAAACTCTAAACTGGAACCTGTAGCCATAGATGTCCTAAATCTGTGAGAGTTGGTTTCAGCTCTTTGCCATGTGGATTTTTTGGCTGTGTGGTGCAGCAGGTGTGTTACTAAGAGGTTCTGCACTGGGGTACAACGGCCTGGATTTGTAACAACAGGTTAAGACTTCCTCCTTCCATTTGGGCACATCAAGGACAGTCACTGCTTTGTCATCAGTTGATGCTGGTGCTAAATGCAGCTGTTAATTTACAGAAGTCTTCAGGGGTACTTTCTAACCCTGGGTTTTCTCCTGGTATTTTTTTCTCTGTCAGTTTCATGTTGTTGTTGGTTCAGCACTGAGCTTGTTCTCCTCCTTGCCAGGGTCTTTTAAATTTTACTCCCTCAGTTTTCTTTTGTCCTTTCAGAAGTTGATCTAGTTTTCCTGTTCTGAGGAAGCTCTTATTTTGGCTAGCAGCAATTACAATTTTTGTAAAAAGTCCAGGAAAATATTAGCAATTTGGCTTTTTTTTTTTCTTTTTGTGCTCTTTAGAGATTTTGCAATGTATAGGTGTCTGTGCTGTCACAGGCAGGTAATTTTCCTTTGCTGGATGCCAGCTATATCTCACAATCATGGTAACTGGGACACAGTATGGTTTGTAGAAGTTTGATTTCACAGGGAGGCAAAAGTGTGTGATGAATCTGCTTCTTTTCAAGGATCTTTCACCACTAAAAGTAGCTCGATACATGCATGCAGAATAAACCTTGGGTAATAAGTCTTTCTCTGGGGTCTGGTCCAAGCCCATTGAACTCACCCAGAGTCTTTCTATTGACTTCAGCTGGCTCTGGATCAGACACCTGGCATCTCTCTGGGTTGTGTTTCTGTCCATTACTCATCCTTCAAGCTGGAGGAGATGGTCCTTGGTTAAGATGCGAGAACCTCTTGGCAGGAAGAGAGACCTACCTATTTTAAGTGCTGAATCTTTCCAAGTGATTGATTAACAGCAGGGTAGTCGATTAACCTTTCTTCTTGTGAGAGCAGCTTCCATCTCGTCATCTCGATAAGGCTGAGAGCAGTCAAGGCCTTTAGCAGGGGAGGGCTGTGGAACAGGATGTTCCCCAGAGGTGATTGGTTCCCAATTCTCCCTGCATAGTGAATTTAGTGAATTCAGCAGACCTTGGGGTCAAGCATTTATTAGGCTAAGAGACTGTCAAATCAATCTGCTCTACTCCAGGCAAGTTCTACCAGGAGAATGGGTTTTGCCAAGACTCTGTCTGAGCAATAGATTGATGACTGACTCCTGGTTGAAGCTGCCTTTCTCTTTTCCATTTTCTGTGAATCAGAGTTTTCCCCCTCACAGACACCAATATTTTCTCCTTAGACAAATTTTATTAAGGAAACAGTTGGAATCTATCTGTAATTTAAGTCACAGGGAGAGTTCCAAACTCTGTAGTCCTTCCATTCTATGTTATGTTGACCCTAGGGCTTTCTTTCAGACCTTGCTTTTTGACCACATGTGTCTGAATTATGTTTCTGGAATTTTCTTTTCACCTCTTCTCTCCCTCCCCCCCTTCCCCCCTTCTTTTTTTTAAACTTTATATTCTCTAGCAGTTATAGGCAGGCACGGATTCTGATTTTTCTCTGCCTAGCATTATAGCTTCTTAATGGAAAGAGAAATGCATTGTGGAGGGATGTGTATTTTCTTTCCTTTATACTAATCCTAACTTCCCTGCAGATTCCTCATTGACAGTGCTGTTGAGCACTGTCATCAGCTAATTTACTTGAGCTACTCAAATAAAACCATGTTATGATCAGGCTTGGACAAGGATGTCAGCTGCCAGAGGACACCCTCTGCACCCCTGTGGGCAGGCTCCAGCTGCCAGAGCTCTGCCTGACCTGGAGAAACACAAGGGACTTAACACAAGAGTGCAGCCTAAGTGCAGCATGGAAGACTAAAGCCAGGTTTTAGTATTTTCATCTTCACTTCCTGCCAGCCTAATCAAGAGAAAATGCAAGAGAAGTCTGAGTGAGCTTAGTGCTCTAAATCAGTTTTCAGTGATCCATATTGATTTGTTTCTTCCCCATCTAGTTATCACTTTCCATGCCTCCACCTCTGGCAGGAGCCAGCCAGTGCTGTAATGATTATGTTAGGATGTGGCCATACAGATACATCTCATTTTGTTTTACCTCTTG